TTGTATGGGCTGGCCCCCCCTTCTCGGGCCTTTTTATTAATGAAGTCTTCTTTGCTCCTTTCGACTGCCTCTATTTCTTTTCTGCTTTTGGGTTCCCAAGAAATAACTTAAGGCCTTGAGCTCTTTCGCTTTGTTGAACTTCCATGATCAAGGATCTGATTTCCCATCTATTTTCGCCAAGTCCCTCAGTCGAGGCGACTCTTTAAGCTTTTCTTTTTCCTTAGAAACGACCTGAGGTCAGTGCCCCGTTGTTTCTTTATATACTCGCCGAGTCCCTCAGTCGAGGCGACTCCTTTTGGTTTTTTCTTGGAAACGATTAAGGGTCTGGGCCCTTGTTTCCTATCTTTTCTCGCCGAGTCCCTCAGTCAAGGCGACTCCTTTTTTCCTTTCTTAGAAACGGTTTTAGGGTCAGTGCCCCGTTGTTTCTTTATATACTCGCCGAGTCCCTCAGTCGAGGCGACTCCTTTTGGCTTTTTCTCGGAAAGGACTAAGGGTCTGGGCCCTCGTTTCCTATCATTTTTCGCCGAGTCCCTCAGTCGAGGCGACTCCTTTTTTCTTTTCTTAGAAACGGTTTTAGGGTCAGTGCCCCGTTGTTTCTTTATATACTCGCCGAGTCCCTCAGTCGAGGCGGCTCATTTTGGCTTTTTCTCGGAAACGACTAAGGGTTTGGGCCCTTGTTTCCTATATTTTCTCGCCGAGTCCCTCAGTCGAGGCGACTCCTTAGGTTTTTTCTTTTCTTAGAAACGGTTTAGGGTCAATGCCCCGTTGTTTCTTTATATACTCGCCGAGTCCCTCAGTCGAGGCGACTCCTTTTGGCTTTTTCTCGGAAACGACTAAGGGTCTGGGCCCTTGTTTCCTATCTTTTCTCGCCGAGTCCCTCAGTCGAGGCGACTCCTTAGGCTTTTTCTTTTCTTAGAAACGGTTTAGGGCCAGTGCCCCGTTGTTTCTTTATATACTCGCCGAGTCCCTCAGTCGAGGCGACTCCTTTCGGCTTTTTCTCGGAAACGACTAAGGGTCTGGGCCCTTGTTTCCTATCTTTTCTCGCCGAGTCCCTCAGTCGAGGTGACTCCTTAGGCTTTTTCTTTTCTTAGAAACGGTTTAGGGTCAGTGCCCCGTTGTTTCTTTATATACTCACCGAGTCCCTCAGTCGAGGCGACTCCTTTTGGCTTTTTCTCGGAAACGACTAAGGGTCTGGGCCCTTGTTTCCTATCTTTTCTCGCCGAGTCCCTCAGTCGAGGCGACTCCTTAGACTTTTTCTTTTCTTAAAAATGGTTTAGGATCAGTGCCCCGTTGTTTCTTTATATACTCGCCGAGTCCCTCAATCGAGGCGACTCCTTTCGGTTTTTTCTCGGAAACGACTAAGGGTCTGGGCCCTTGTTTCCTATCTTTTCTCGCCTAGTCCCTCAGTCGAGGCGACTCCTTAGGTTTTTTCTTTTCTTAGAAACGGTTTAGGGTCAGTGCCCCGTTGTTTCTTTATATACTCGCCGAGTCCCTCAGTCGAGGCGACTCCTTTTGGCTTTTTTCTCGGAAACGACTAAGGGTCTGGGCCCTTGTTTCCTATCTTTTCTCGCCGAGTGGAGGGCAGCGATGAAGGGTAGAAGGTGTCCTTTTATTAGATTTCGAAAACTCGAGTACACACCTAACCTCTTTATTGGTAGAACTTCTTTAAATGGACGACATTCCAGAGTCGGTCTATGGGTTTTCCTTCCAGGGTCTCAAGCTTATAGGTACCGGCCTGCACCACTGATGCAATGCGATAAGGTCCTTCCCACTTAATCGCGAATTTGCCCCCTTTCGTGGGCTGGCTCGCCTGCCGGTCCCGCAACACGAGGTCGCCGACCTGGAAGGCTCGTGGGCGAATCCTCCGGTCACGGTACCTTTTTACGGCTTGTTGGTATTCGACCATCCGGGCGCACGCCACCTCCCTTCTTTCCTCCAGGAAGTTCTTTTCAATTCTAAGGCTTTCTTCATTCTCTTCGTCGGAATAGCTGCATACCCGATAGGTGGGCTCCACGACCTCCACTGGAACCTTGGCTTCGAAGCCATATGCTAGGGAAAAGGGGCTTTCTCCAGTCGCCCGTCTTTGCGTAGTTCGGTAGGCCCAGAGGACCCTGTCGAGCTCATCCGCCCAATTTCTCCCGATGTCCTCCAACTTCTTCCGGATCCCGTCCACTATGGTCCGGTTCACATTCTCGACTTGCCCGTTAGCCTGGGGGTATGCGACGGATACCTTGGTGTGTCATATACTATGCCGGCGACAGAAGTCGGCGAAAGCTTAGCAGTCAAACTGCCTGCCGTTATCGCTAACCACGTGCTCGGGCAGGCCGAAGCGACAAATCACCTTCTTCCATAGGAAGCGCCGGCACTGGTACTCGGTGATGGTGGCTAGTGTTTCGGCCTCGACCCACTTTGTGAAGTAATCGATGGCCACTACACAAAACTTCAAGCTTCCCGAGGAGACTGGTAGTGGTCCTAACAAATCGATTCCCCATTTAGCAAAAGGGATGGCCGTGGTGACCGGCGTGTAGAAGGTGGCCGGCCAATTGTCCTTCCGGGCGAAGGCTTGGCAAATGTTACACTTGGCTATCCATTCCACGCAATCTCTCATCATGGTCGGTCAATAATACCCCTGGACGACTAGCTTTCGGGCGAGCGTATGGGCCCCCTGATGGGCCTCATCCATTATCCTCTCGGCTTCGGGCCGGAGTAGCCATGTCAAGAGGGGCCCCCCGAACGACCACTTGTACATCTGTCCGTCAATGATCTGGAATGAAGGGGCTTTTCGTCGAATCCTTGCAGCGACTCCTGGATCCTCTGGTAGTTCGCCTGTTTCCTTAAACCGCCGGATGTCTTCTGTCCAAAACATCTCGGGGTTTTTCTCTCGATCCCATTCCTCGACATTTACCTGTTGGACCTCCAATGGTGTTTCCTTTATACTCGGACGACTTAACTCGTCCTTTTGGCAAATCTTGGCGAGGTGGTCCGGTATTCCTTCTAAGGCGATTTTCGATAATATGTCGGCCTCGATGTTGTCCACCCGGGAGATATGCTCTATTTCATATGTTCCAAATTCTTTCAGCATTTCTATCGCCTTCTCCTTATACTAGGTCATCCGGACGTTCTTAGCTTCGCAGGTGCCGGAAATCTGTCCCACCTCTAACCGGGAATCAGTTTTGATCCGCAATCGTTCTGCTCCCAAGGCCTTGGCGAGTCGAAGGCCGCCCAAAACAGCCTCATACTCGGCTTCGTTATTAGACGTCGGGAACAAATAGCTCAGGGCGTAATAGAGTTGGAACCCCTCTGGAGTGACCAGCATGATCCCGCCTCCACAGTGTTGTCGACTCGCCGCTCCGTCCGCGTGCATTTCCCACCACTCACCTAAACGGTCTTCCGTGGTGTGCTCTTTCTCTTCTTCCCCTGCCGTGCATTCGACCAGGAAATCGGCCAAGGCTTGCCCTTTTATGGATGGTCGTGGTTGATACTCGATCTCGTATTGGGTTAATTCCACGGCCTATTTTACCAATCGTCCTGACGACGCCGGGTTTCGCAGTACGCTCCCCAGCGGTTGGTTGGTCAGTACCCGGACAGTATGGGCTTGGAAGTAAGGCGCTAACTTGCGTATGGTGATTACCAGTGCATAGACAATCTTCTCCAAGGCTGTGTACCGTGTCTCGGCGGCCTTTAAGGAGCGGTTTACATAGTAGACTGGGTGCTGGGCACGCTCCTCTTCCCGAACCAGCACCGAGCTCACCGCCTTGGGGGAGGCGGCCAAGTACAAAAACAAAGGTTCACCCTCCCGTAGGGTGGGCAACACCGGTGGTGTGGAAAGATACTGCTTTAGTTCCTCGAACGATTGCTGGCACTCGGTCGTCCAGGCGAAACCTTCCTTCTTCTTCATCGCCTCGAAGAATGGTATAGTTTTATCCGCCGCCTTACTTAAGAAGCGACTGAGGGCAGCCAGTCGACCAGTCAGTCGTTGCAAATCTTTGATGGTGCTGGGAGGCTGCATATCGATGATGGCCTAGGCCTTTTCCGGGTTGGGCTCGATGCCTCGTTTAGTCACCATGTATCCTAGGAATTTTCCGCCTTGCACCGCGAAGGCACATTTCTTTGGGTTCAGCCGGAGATTATACCTTAGCATCACTTGGAAGCAGTCGGCCAGGTCCTCCGCGTGTTTGGCCTCTTCTTTGCTTTTGACCAACATGTCGTCCACGTAGGCCGCCATGGATTTGCCCAGTAAGTCTTGGAATAGCCGAGCTACCATCCGAGTATAGGTGGCCCCAGCATTCTTGAGTCCGAAGGGCATAACTCGGTAACAATACACCCCGTCTGGTGTAAGGAACGCGGTTTTTTCCTCGTCGGCCGGGTGCATGAAAATCTGATGATATCCCCTAAAGGCTTCCATAAAGCTCAGCAGGGCCGACCCTGCCGTCTCGTCGACCAGCTGGTCAATCTATGGCAAGGGGAACGGATCCTTTGGGCAGGCTTTGTTAAGATCAGTGTAATCCACGCACATCCGCCACGCTGGGGGTTTCGGTACGAGGACCACGTTTACCAACCACTCCGGGTATTTAACCTCTCGGATGTGGCCCGCGGCTAGCAGCGTGCCCACCTCTTTCTTTACGAATTCCCTTCGGTCATTGGCGAGATTCCGCTTTTTCTGTACAACCGGCCGATGGTCCGGATCCACGGCGAGTCGGTGGGCGATGATGGACCTGTCGACACCTGGCATATCCTCTGGCCCCCAGGCAAAGACCGACCGATGTTTTCGGAGTACATGGATAATTACCTCCCGAGTCTCTTCGGGGACACCGACACCAATTCTGACCCGCCTGTCCGGCCGTTCAGGGTCGATTTCGATTTCTTCCAATTCCACGGCCGGTTCCGGGAGGGGTATCATTGCTTTCTTTGGGGGCTTTTCCGTGATTTCGTGGACTTGCATTCCACGTTTGCCCATCCCCCTACAGGCTTGCAGGTAGCAGTCGCGGGCAACTCTTCTATCACAACGCACCGTTCCTATTCCGTTTGGCGTGTGGAATTTCAAGCAAAGATGCTCGATGGAGATCAGTGCTCCCAAATCCTCCAGGCCTGGTCGGCCGAGTATTGCATTGTGTGAGCAAACTAAGTTTACCACGATGAACTTCATGCTGAGCTGCTGCACATCGGGGATAGCTGCCGACTTCCACTGGTAGGATGATGGACCCCTCTGCTTCCACCGAGTCTCCCGTGAAACCGGCGAGTGGTGTCTTGACCGGATTCAGCTGTTCTCGAGTCAATCCCATCTTTGCGAAAGTCTCGAGGTATAGTACGTTGACACTGCTTCCGGTGTCGACCAGGATTCGTCGAACGACCACACCGTTTACATCCATCGCTATGACCAGCGCATCTCGGTGCGATGTTTCTCCCGTGGGCAAATCTTTGTCAGTGAACGTGATCGGCTCTCGGCACACTTTCTTCGAGCTTTCTTCACGCCCATATACTGTTCCGACGTATAGTTGTCGAGCCCAGGCCTTTCTGGTATTCGCCGAGTCGCCGCCCTCTGGTCCACCGACTATCATGTTAATAACGGGCTTCTGGCGCCACTGGGCCTCGCCCTCCTCAGTGGCCGATCGCTTGCTGCGGCTGCTCTCGGCGGCGACCGTTGGATCGTCGTCCTCTCGTGCCACTGACCTTCGCCTCCATTGATTAGGAGGTGGGGTCCCTTGCTGGATGATTCTTTCCATGACCTTTTTCAAGTAAAAGCACTCTTCCGTGCTATGAGTGTAAGATTTATGATAGCGGCAGTACTTGGAGTTCTTACCTGTCTCTTCACTCACTACATGCTCGTCGGTCGGCGGAGGCGGATGCGGAGCGACCGCTTGAACCTCGTGCACCGGGTGTTGAGGAACCACTCTGTAGGGATGGACCATAGGCTTGTCATAGGGACGTCTAGCCTCGGGTCGCCGAGCCCCTTTCGGGCGCCTTTCTTTGGTTTCCGCGCGGGTCCTCTTTCCGCCGATGGATCCTCCGACTTCGCGTTGTCGCTTATGCTTCATGACCTGCTCCGTGTTAGCCCTTTTATTGGCCATGTGTATGGCTTCCGCGTAGGTAGCCAGACGGTTATCCCGTAGATCCAGATACAACTGCCCGGATCGTAAAGACTCGATGAAAAAAGTGAGTGCGGTCTGATCTTCGACCTCCTCGATAGACTGAATCTCCTTTTGCCATCGAACCAAGTAGGCTTTCAGGGACTCGCCTTCCTCTTGATGGACATCTCCCAGGTGAGTCAGATCCTTCTGTGGCTTGATGTTGGCCGCGTAATGGCTCATGAAGCGGTCGGCTAACTCCTCGAAACTGTGAATCGACTTAGGAGGCAGCGCCACTAACCACCTTTGTGCCGAGCCTTTCAGCGTGGGCAAGAAGGCGCGACACATCACCGGGTCTCGCACTCCCAAGACCTGCATTTTGGCCTAATAGTTATGCAGATGCTCGCGTGGGTCTCCGGATCCGTCGAAGGTGGCTTGTTCTGGAAATTTGAAGTCGTCGGGTACTTTGTAGGACATGATCTCGGAAGAAAATGGCAAAGCGGTGAGCAACGTCTGCCCGGGGGATTTGGTCTTTCCCCCCATTTGTTCTTTCAGATCTCGTACCTCTCGGGCCAATTGGGCCACGTCGCCTTCATTGTGAGTGTGGTTTCCTGTGGATTCCGTACTTTCGCCGACCTCAGATTCAGCCGGTCGGTCCTCGTTACGCGTTACGCGCTCGGTCCGTCGTGTCCGAGTCTTAGTTTTCCTGGTGCGAGCTCTTCCCCGACCGGTTTCCCAATCTCGGGGCCCTGCTGGTGCGCGGCTGGGCTCCCTTTCTCCTAGTCGTTCCCGTGCAGGCTGCCGCCCAGCATTCGGACCTAGCCTTGAATGGACTGATCGTACTGGCTGGCTCTCTGCCCGTCGATTTTCCTGTCCATCTTCCGACCTCTGGGACGGTTGTTGATAGCGAGGCATCGGTCGGGAAACTGACTGCTCCCTCACTCCTCGACTTGCGTCGGCAAAGGCTCGCCCGATCGCGTGGAGTTGCTCCGGGGTGAGGGGTATCATGGGTGGCTGCTGGTTCACCGGTGCCGTTTCGTTTCCTTGACTTTGAGCATTTCGTTGGTTCAACTGCTCTCTTAGATCCGCCTCTATTCCGCCGTTTTGGTTGTTTACTTGGTCTCGTCCTTCCGACATGTTCGTGATGCTTCTTCGGTCGACTTTAGGACTCGCCTTGCTCAGAGAGTCACGTAGCTCTTTGTTCGATCCCCACAGACGGCGCCAGTGTTGGTTTTTGGGTTTTCGGGCCCAAGGAGGTCCAACACAACCTTTGGTTGGTGGATTCACCTTTCTCAAAGTGATCGTACGAGATGAGTAGTCAGATAGTTAGAGAGTGTGTGTATGTCTTATTCTCTGGGCATGGACCCTCCTCTCTTACAAGTGTGGAGGGGCCTTTATATAGTAGGCTCCCCTCCGCCCGAATTGAAGTACATTAAACATGGCTTTCAAGACTAATTACACTATCAGACCGTTCGGTTGCTGTTACCGAGTCGACCAACGGCTCTTTGGCCTCCTAACGGCTCTTTTGACCGAGTCCTCTTGAATGCCGCATTGAGTGTTCCTTCAACGACTCTTAGACCGACTTGAATGCTTCTTACTGGCCTCTGGGCCGAGTCTCCTTTCACGCTTGGGCCCGGGCCGACTCCTGGACTCGGCCCAGGCCCTCATCAGGCTTCTTCTTCTACTGACCCTTATTTTCTATCCTGGGCGTTTTCTCTCTTGGGCCCCTCTCTCGTGGGCCCCTCTTCTTAGGCCGGGGTCCTCACCCCATCAAAAATCATGCTCTATTCAATCCACTCGATCACTCTTTTCGAGACTTCACTCTGAAATTCAGTTCCTACTTGTATTCTCCCGATTGCTACTCTGCCTATACAGCCACGTGTTCCCCATATGGAAGATTTGCCTTCACCCGAGTCTTGTCTTCCTCAAGCGGCCAGGCCACCACAGTCGCCGGTAGCTTCTCCTACGCCGGCAATTGGGGTGTTCCAGCCACACTCGTCCGACCAGCAGCCTCCCCAGCCACTCTCTCGTCAGGTTCCGTCCCTTCATAGCAGTCCTGCTGCGTCCTCAAGATCAGGTCCTGCGTCGTCTCCGCCATCATCAACTCCACCTGCCTCGTCCCCTCCACCAGTTCAGTCTCCTCCACCAGTGCCGTCCCCTCCATCAGCGTCGTCCTCTCCCTCTGCGTCGTCTTCGCCAGCAATAACTCCAGTTCAGGTACCTATTTCTCGACCCGTTAGAAACCGCAAGCCTAATCCTAAATTTTGTGGTCCGTCGTTTGTTAATATAGTCTCAGTACATCTCTTACCTCCTTGTCTTGAGCCTAACACCGTTACCCAGGCGTTGAAAGATCCTTTGTGGCGTAAGGCGATGGATGCCGAATATGAGGCGTTGCTCCGGAATGGTACTTGGGATTTGGTACCACGGCAATCCAGACCGATGGTTGGGTGTAAATGGGTGTTCAGAGTTAAACGTAAGCCAGATGGTTCTGTTAACAGGTATAAAGCACAGCTTGTAGCGAAGGGGTATTTACAGTAGGCTGGTCGTGATTTTTTTGAAACATATAGTCCCGTGATGAAGCCTGTTACTATACGTGTGGTTATTTCTATTGCTTTGCATAATAACTGGCTCATACGACAATTAGATATTAATAATGCTTTTTTAAATGGGACGTTGACTGAAACTATTTTTATGGACCAACCACCGGGTTCCGTTAATGTGGATTTCCCTTCGCATGTTTGTCAGCTGAAAAGGGCATTTATGGTCTTAAACAGGCACCGCGAGCCTAATACCTTGAGCTTAGTCATTTTTTGTTGCGCTATGATTTTGTCAAGTCACAGGCAGATGCGTCATTGTTTGTTTACTCGGATAGTGGTGTCCTTATGTATTTTTTGGAATCAAGTCACAGGCAGATGCGTCATTGTTTGTTTACTCGGATAGTGGTGTCCTTATGTATTTTTTGGTGTATGTTGATGACATCCTGCTTACTGGGAATAATACTGTGTGTATTGAGCAGTGTGTGCGAGCGTTGTCTAATGCTTTTGCGTTAAAAGATTTGGGTCCCTTACATCATTTTTTAGGTGTGGATGTAATTTCAACTGTGTCAGGTGTGTTTTTGTCCCAGTCATAATATATCTCTAACATTTTGATCAAGTTTCACATGGATGGAGCAAAGCCGGTCTCCACGCCTATGAGTTCTTCAGAAGTTCTGCCTCTCCCGGACCCTTCTACAGTTGTTGATCCTACAGGTTTTCGCAAACTTATTGGCATGTTGCAATATTTAAGCATTACTCGTTCAAATGTCTCGTTCGCCGTGAACTGTTTGTCGCAGTTTTTGCATGCACCATCTGCAGCCCATTGGTCTGCCGCGAAGCGTGTTCTATGCTACCTTAAGGGTACATTGTTTCATGGATTACTACTCAAAGGTAAAACTACCTTTCAGCTCACCGTCTTTTCGAATTCTTATTGGGGTGGTTCTAATACCTTGGGCCATTCTACCACTGCATATATTTTGTATCTTGGTGGTAACATTGTTTCTTGGAAGTCGACGCGTCAGAAATCAGTTTCTCATTCTTCCACTGAAGCGGAGTATCGTGCCCTTGCGAATGCTGCTGCTGAGGTTTTATGGGTTCAGCATCTTTTGCGGGAGCTACGAGTGCCTTTGTGTGGCACTCATGTGTTGCTTTGTGATAATCTGAGTGCTACGTATATCTGCAAAAATCATGTGTTCCATTCTAGGATGAAGCATCTTGTCCTTGACTATTTCTTCGTTCGTGAGTTGGTGGTTTCTGGGGCCTTGGTTGTTCGTCATCTTCCCTCTAAGGAACAACTCGCAGATATTCTCACGAAGCCGCTGGGTCGTGTGTCCTTTTAGCTTTTCCGGTCCAAGATCGGAGTCTCCGACGAATCCTCCATCCTGCGGGGGCATGTTAAACATGTGGCTTGAATTAGTCTCTAGCAGTTTTGTTGTTTACTCTTTCTTTAGCCTACTGTTATGCTTCTGTTACAACTTCTCATGTAAAGCTCTATTTATACTTTCATTGTAAAGTTATAATCAATACAATTATTTTCTACCTTCACAGAACTTTCTTACTTAGGCATATAGATTATATGGATTTCCACCTAGAGGGCATATGCATGGGAGTTCGAGCGGCTTGCTGGTTCATCGTATCATCTTTTGAGTACGCCAACTCCCTGTCGTGATCAAAATCTATGTTGAAAAAGATTTGGTGATGCGAATGTCGGAAAATTGACCTTAGAGGACATACACTATTATTTGTATGGGGAGGAGATGGATGGACAGAGTTATTTATAGTTAGGGTTTTGTAGGGAAATTGGGTTGATACAAATTTGACGTGTCTGGAGAGAAATGTCCTCTTTGTTTTGGGTTCATAACATTTATTGGGTTCATAACATTTATAAGCAGACTGTGAATTTGAGTATCCCAAGAAAATACAAAAGGAAGATTTAGGCTCAAGTTTATGAGAGCGGTATGGCTTTAACCAGGGAATACATAAACACCCAAACGGATGAAGCTTAGCATAATTGGGCTGAGATTTATATAAAATGGAAAAGGGAGACTGATTATCCAAGACAGGTGTGGGCAACTGATTTATGAGATACACTGCAGTTTGGAATGCATGAGACCAAAAAGACAAAGGTAAAGAAGCAGAATGTAACAATGACATACCAGTCTCAACTATGTGGCGGTGGCGGCGTTCAATTGTACCGTCATGTTCGGGAGTATGAGGGAGAGTGGTGAAGTGAGAAATCCCTTCACTATTAAATATTGGGACAAGTTTAATGAATTCACTGCCATTATCTGAAAAAACTGAAACAATTTTTTGTTTGAAATAATTTTCGACTAACCGTTTGTATTGTGGAAAAATACGAGCCACATCTGATTTCTTTTTGAGTGGGTATAACCACGTATATTTTGTATAGTGGTCCACAAAAATAACATGGTAAGCATAACCATCAATTGATTTTTGAGGTGAGCTCCAAACATCCGTATAAATTAATTCTAGAGGTCTGGAACTTACCATAGAATTTTCTGCAAAAGGTAACTTGTGACTCTTATTAATGTTGCAAGAAATGCAATGAAAACGACTTAACGTAAGGTTGGAAACATTGGTGCAACGACTTAAAATACGACCAAGTACTTTATTTGAGGGATGTCCCAGACGATGATGCCAATCAGGCACAAACACCAAACTGGTTGCATTGGCTTGAGGCAGAAGTGAGGTAGGAGCATAGTAGACACCATTAACGGTCTCCCCCCGCATCAGTGGTGCCCCGAGTTTGACAATCCTTCACGAGAAAGAAATTAGAAAAGAATTCAATTGAAACCGAGTTAGTGTGACATAGTTGAGAAACTG